GGCAACAGGATTGGAGGAAGAGTGATGTGCAGATGACACAACTTTTCTTATTAAAAGTGAAGAGGACTTGAAATACTTACTGATGAAGATCAAAAACCTCAGTCTGGATTGCACCTCAATGTAAAGAAAACCAAAATCGTCACAACTGCATCAATAAATAAAATCGTGACAGAGAAAAGTTTAAAGTTGTCAAAGATTTCATTTTGCTTGGATCCATAATCAACATTCATGTAAGTAGCAACCAATTAATCAAACAACATATATGATTAGGTCACTCTGCTGCAAAAGACCTCTTTCAAGTGTTTAAAGAGTTAAGATAACAGTGTGAGGACAAAGGTCCACCTGCCCCAAGCCATGGTATTTTTAATCATCTCACCACCTACTATATGTGTGTGAAAGTTGACCTCTAAATAAGGAATAATCAATGTACTTGAATTATAATGTTGAAGAAGAATATTAAAAGTACCATGCACTGCCAAAAGACCAAACAAACCTGTCTTGGAAGAAGTACAACCAGGATGCTCTTAGAAGCCAAGATGCTGAAACTTCATCTCTTGTTCATTTTACCAGGGATCAGTTTCTGGAAAAGGACATCATGCTTAGGAAAGTGAAGGGTCAATGAAAAACAAGAAGGTGCCCAACAGCATGACTGGCATAGTGGCAACAGAAATATGCTCAAACTTAACAATTGTGAGGATGGCACAGGAGAAGGCAGTGTTTTGTTCTGTTGTGGATAGAGTCACTATAAGTCAGAACCAACTGAATGACACTTAATAACAACAGTGTGACACATGATAAGTTGCTAAAGACAAGGTGTTTCCTCTCCCAGGAATTTGTATAGATTAAAATATCTGAAAATGCATGTTTAGATAACTCAAAAGCAAGAGGAGAGCTTATTGAGGTTAGGGACTTAATCATACTTATTGATCCTGTGTAGATGTCTGTACCATGCACTGTATGGTTGGCTCTATAATGGTAATTTTGTTCAAGATTGAATTTTTATTAGTTCACACTTGTTCCAAACTTTGTGTTTTATTGTTGCTATCTAGAAATTCAAGCAGCTTCTTTCCTGGCGTGCTCATGCTCTAGAAATTGTTCAACTAGTCTACATAGAAGACTTACAATTGGTGCTTACTGCCTCCATTGATGGATCAGTAAGGTATGGAACTTCATTCTGGGAATGCAGGGTTTGAATATCAGAGTTAACGTTTAGGTATATAACATAAATGCAGTCTTGGTAATATGGTTTTTTTAAAAAAAGGCACGAGGGTGGTGGTAATGCAAAAGGATTTTGAGTAGACGGCCATGAATTTGGAAGTCTTTTCCAAGTCTTTTCCAAAGGTGACACTTAGTTTGCACCCTCATCTGTGTTAGAAGATATGAAGAATACTTTTAAGAGAAGTGACTTTTGTAGAGTTATTTTAAAGAATTAAGTAAGAGAGAGAGCTCAGAAAGATAAACCCATGCCCAGAGAGAAACATAGATGGAAATACAAGGTCAGAAGTCAGAGAAGTCACTGAAAAGAAGAGCTAATTTTCACAAAAGTAAAACTGAACTAATTCTTGTTTGTTTGTT